CATATTTCTCTTCCTTTCCTATTTCTATTCCTTTCTCTTATATTCCTTGCATTTTTATGTTTCCTTCCTAATTCCATTTCATTCACATTTTAATCCCCTCTTATTCCAACTGCTAGTACCTATTATAAATATGTTGTTTGCTATCTTAGAGTTCAATTTTTGGTCTTCCTGTTTTCAAACTTTTGTCCAACATGCCTTCAGCGGTTGTTTTCCCTTCTATATCCGAAGGCGAGGAGGTGCTCCAACTGTAACTCGCCTAAGACGGTAATCTTGTCCAACGGTTTGAGGGGTGCATTGGCTATAACACGATCCTATGGGAATAGTTATCCTTCCATATTCCCCTCCACTTGCTTGTTGCCATCTCCCCTACGCCCTAGCCTTTCTGTAACTTGTTGTCTTCTAGCCCTACATGCTCCTTCCAGTCACTGCACAAGCCTTCTGACCCCTCTACTTGCTGTTTTTCGTGCTTCTAGCAAACACACAGGCCTTCCAGTCGTATTCCTGCTCTGTCGCCACACCCTCACCCTCACCCTCACCCTCACCCTCAAGTGCCTATCCTGCTGTTCTGGGCCAGTTCTTGCTACCGCCAACCCCTCTTGCAGCTGTCCAGCTCCCCACCACCTCTCACGCTTCCTTTTAAATCACAACCACTTGCTATAAGCCTCCTCTCAGCTAGCTGGCAGCCCTCTTGCTTCATTTAATGTTGTTATCACCTGTTATCATCCACCCTCTAGCCCTCTAGCACCGCTGTCGCTTCCTTCCTTCCCTTTCACATTTGCCACTCTTCTCTAGAGAGTCATTTATTTGTTTGGTGTTATTTTCTCTCTTATTTTGCAACATCTGTAGTTGTTACTTTTTTTTAATGTGTTGTTACTTCTTGTTTAAATGTTTTGGTTGTTTTATATTAGATAATTCATCCTTCTCACTTATGAATTTAACAATAAAATTTATCATTTGATTGTTATTTGGGTTAACTCCGATATCATGTTCTACAAAACTCATTTCTTAGCCTATCAAGACCTTGTCAAGAATTACATTAAGAATTCAATAGTAAGCTATGTGATCTGGTATGGCACTTATAGAATGCATAACACTTTGTGGTCTTGCAATGGGTTTTCCATAAATATCTGGCTATTTTTGGCAGCGGCTAGAAATCAAGAACAAGGGAAAACTACAGCTCACCTTTCTTTGTAAAAGAAGAAATTGACGTGGGCGCCAAAAGGGATGTGGGGCAGCTTCTCATCATTTCGGCGCGAGAGTCTTCCACAAAAGGGATGTGGGGCAGCTTCTCATCATTTCGGCTCGAGAGTCTTCCGCGTTCCAGACAACTAGACCGAACAAGTCGAGATGGAGGGTCGACCCTCTCTTCCATGATGGTTTGGTGCCTCTTTTTCACAGTAAGATATACATTTTAAACACTTTTAAATCCTACAACATCATCACCAAGATTTATTTATTAGTGAGAAAAATCAAAGAAAAACAAAAGAAAGCCTCTCAATATAGTTCAAAGATTCCTAAAGCCATTGTACAATCAACATGTGTGCCATGTACATCAAGCTAAAAGATACATTAAAGCTCTAAGAACCCAAATCACCGAAGCCGATTTAATCTTACAGAATTCATTGTCCGGATCTCTCTAGTTCAAAGAAACTAATTGAATCAACCGACCAAATCATCTTACTTGCATGAACCAAAATCAATAAAGCAATAACATTTGAATCAACTGACCAAAAACTTCAAATGATCCAAATATCTATTGCTATCCTGAAACTCATCAAGAGTTTAACGTGAATACTTGAACAACGGTCAGCTAAAAGGCTAAGATATGTTTATTAAAAACTTTATTAAATATTGGCATATAAATTTGTTGGTACTTGAAAAAGATCAAGTTTTGCCATAGACTGGTGGTATTTCTCACACTAAACAATTCATATAATGACTAATCTCAGCCTAAATCTACAAATAGAATGAAAAAGAATAAGCATTGACTACTAGTATCTTTAAAGCTTCACACTAATCTTCTCTTTCCCTAGATTTTTATTTCTCTAGAGCTCAATCTTTCGATTATTAATAAATTTTGATGACACCAGCAGCAAAATTTAAATATAATGATACAACAAACTACATGGAGAATATATCACTTGGCCTCGAGGAGAAGATGGTCGAGTTATAGACAGCTGCTGCTTTAGTGCCACCGAGTTTTCTAAGTTGAGAATTGCAAAGAGATGCGTTTTGAGTTAACAATACCGATTCTTAATGTAAAAATTCATATAAAAAAAGCAACTCTGGTGAATGATCTTCCCTCGTAGTATAAGAAAAATAAAAAATAAAAATCTACAAAAAGGGTAGGGGTAGGACTCATCATAAAGCAGGGAAGAAAAGGAGTTGTGGGGGTGTATCTATTTTTCGATGCCTTGCTGCAAGTACTGTATGAGATCATACCCAGCAGTGGTCCACTTGTTATAGGCATCCATGCAGGTACGGATCATGAAATTGGCAGCCTCGCGTTCGTTCATCTCTGGATGGAATCGCTTTCGTAAATTTCCGATTGGGTCGCCTCGGCTAAAGCATGGAAGACCGCTGTCCACCATCAGAAGCACCGTCGTCAAAATACCATGCATATGCCGCCGACCAGCAAGATAGCCTTTCACGCACAAGCTGCATTTCCAAAGACAACCACCAATGTGGCAGCAGTAAGCAGAGTTGCACAAAGATAATAAAGAGTTCAGTTAGCAGTTCTGTTTTGAAAAACATGAAGATGATATCTTTATAACAATACTAAATGATGTGCTTTGAAAATGACACCAAAATATAACGTCCTACATGAAAAGTTTAGATCTAACTTTAGTTGAAATAGTTTTTAACATCGAAACGTAGAATTGAGCAAATAATGAATTGTGCAAACTTTTAGGCCCCTAATTTATACAATACGCAATATGAGTGATATAGCAAACAACATTATTTTTAATGATGGCAGACTGGTTCTATGGTGACAGCATAATGATTAGAAAAATGACTTACACAACCAAACTTAAGAAAATCGTCGACAACACATTGTAGGAAAAAAATCTCCATTGTGATAATTTCTATGAAGACTAAGTTTACCGAAGCAAAAAATTAACATATTACAGTTTACTCGTTGGCACATGGTATTTCTTGACAAACAAATCTATGCTAGCAAGCATTTGTTCTAAAAAATAAAGATTATTTAAGGTAAGTTACACCTTACATATATTCAAAGGGGATCTCTATAAATTTCAAATAGAGAAGTAATCACCTGACAAATTGATTCCAAGTGTCGCTTTTCATCGTTCCTGATGGATCAAGCAATTGGGTCATCTCATGACTGAGCTTGAAGTCAGCATTTTCAAACCGCATGTTTCCTCCGGGAGATGTTTCAAGTATAAACCCAAAATCTATATGCACAAGCCTTCCCTTGCTGCAACATGAACACATCTTCAGCATCTGAATAAGCATCCTATTCAAACCACAAATACGTAAGAATATAGCATACTTGTCAAAAAGAAGATTGCCATTATGACGATCCTTTGGCTGAAGAAGAAGACTGGCAACAGCATAACCAGCACTGCTGATCATAAACATTTCACGAGCAGTTTCGAATGCAGGGGATCCTACAGGCCCATAGTCTTGTTGAAATATCTCAAACAACCCACCATCAGTCAGTTCTCCCATTTGGTTTCTGCTTCTTGTATTTGGAACAACCTATGTAGAACGCAAAATTCAGTAGAGGGCTGTAAAAGACAATTATGTGAGTGTTGCCTTCTAATTGATCAAGAATTAAATATTCTAGCATATTTTCAGTTTGATAGATCAAAACTTGATTTCTAATTCAGCCGCTCAAGTTTAATAGAAGAGTAATTTATTGCATGCATGCAACTAAAATCAGATGGTTCACAACATATAGCAAGAAGAGTAAATTGCCAAAATACTCCCGTGATTATTTTACTATGGGTCATTTTAGTCCCAAAGTTTATAAAAGTGTTAAATTAATCCTCAGATTGTTTTAATGGGGGCCAATATAGTCCTCATTGAATTATTTAAGTGTTAAATTAATCCTCAGATTGTTTTAATGGGGATGTTCAAAAAATTATGGGGACTAATCCAACCCGTATTAAAAAATTATGGGGACTAAGTTGACACTTAAACTCGGGGACTAAAATAACAGCTTATAAAAATTCGATGGACTATTTTAAGACTTTTCTCATATCAGTAAACATGAGATTAGATTGCAGTCAATTTGATTACTTCAGGCTTTTGACAGATAGGAAAGGCTTGGTTCAGATTGACCAAATACCGATACAAAACATTGCCAATTCTTTGGGCACCATTTCAACTACAGAAAAAAAAAATGAAAATCAAATCCACTATGATGCAGCAGGAGTTAATTGAAGAAGAATTGAACCAAACACAAGACCAGAGCAACAAGGAAACTACTACCAAGCAAGGACTTAAGTCTAATAACCAATTAAGGACTTCAAATTTAAATTAGTAGCTTTATACAAGTATTGATAATTGTAAAAAAATGTTAATATTTCAAATTTGGTATCAAATTGTGATTTTGAATCGCAATTTTTTTAATATTTGAATTTCAATTTTTTTAATTTTTTTAATTTATTAAATTTTGAATTGTGGAGAGATTATATGGAGGGAATGTATTTGATTAAAATGGAGGAACCAATTTACATTATATGGATGGCCTCCTCTTTGAAAGAGGTAGTTACATTTTTCCAAGAGAATAACTACCTGTGGCAACTCTTCATATGGCCGTCCCGCCTAAATCCTCCCTATTGTTTTTTTATTTTTTTCACTTAAACCCTGTAAACATTCTATGCTGATAAATAAAATGGATTGATGATATTTTAAACAAAATTTGGAGTGTTAAAGCTCTTGAAGCTTGGTGGCTGATTCCCAATCATGAAAACTACTTGGTAGCATCAACTTTATTTACGTCTTTAATGAGTTGGAAAAACCATTTCTATTACTCTACCTTTGCTTATTGTAGAATCCACTTAGTGGGATAAAGGTATGTTGTTGTTGTACTCTTTGCTAATCGTAAAATCCTTCAACCATATGGCCTCAACACATTTACATCATTTAAAAGGCTTAATAAATAAAATAGAAAGCCAACCAAAAGCCCTTGGACTTGAGTACTGTTGAGGAAAGTGGAGTCCGGTCAACTATTTCGATTTGGCAAAAATCTGTTATGACAAAATATTTAATTGTTAATTAAATATTTACTTCATTAAAGATTTCCTTCCAAGCCAATTGCCTTAAAAGCTTCATGCAAAATCTCGTGAGATCTTGAAAATCTTCCTCTTATTTACTTAATTAGCTTCGTCTGCTTCTTATAAAAGGCTAAACCCATCTGCTCTTCAACACAACCCACAAACTCCTCTTCAGCTGAAGCTTGAAGGAAAAGGAAAAAGAAAAACTTCTGCTTTCGGTTTCTTTTCTTTGGCTTAAGAGAAAAATTATTTTTTGTGTTCCTTTCTTGTGGCTTTGAGAGAGAGGAAGAAGAGGTGAGGAAGAAGAGAGAAAGGAAGAGAGAGATTGTTCTTTCTTGTAAACGTCGAGACGCCGACGGTATAATTTCTCGAAGTAATAAAATCATCTGCAGCTTCGTGAAAATAAGCAATTTGCCAAACCACGTAAATCTTGTGTCCCATTTTTCTGGTGTAATTTTTTTATCTGTTTTTCTCTTTATTGCCGTCATTTTTTCACAATAACTGGTATCAGAGCTTTGGTTCAAATCTAAGGAAGAAAGATGGACGGAGACAAAGTGATGACATCGGGGATCGAGAAATTCAATGACACAGATTTTAGTTACTCGAGGATGCAGATAGAAGACTACCTCTATAGGAAGAAACTTCATCTGTCGTTGCTGGAAAAAAAAGCTGGAAAAGATGGATGAGGCGGAATGAAATCTGTTGGATCGACAGGTTTTAGGAGTTGTTCGATTAACCCTGTCAAGATCTATTGCCCATAACGTCATCAAGGAGAGGACTGCTACAGATTTCATGGCGGCTTTATCAGGCATGTATGAAAAACCATCAGCGAATAACAAGGTGCACCTGATAAAAAAGTAATTCAACCTGAAGATGGCGGAATATGTGTCTGTTGCTCAACACCTGAACAAGTTTAATAATATTGTTGCTCAACACCTGAATGATTTCAACACGATCACAAATCAGAATATCACAAATCAGTTGTCGTCTGTTGAAATTGATTTTGATGATGAGATACGTGCGATGGTATTGTTGGCTTCATTGCTAAATGTTGGGAAGCCATGAGAATGTCAGTTAGCAGTTCTGCAGGTAAATCTAAACTGAAATATGATGATATTCATGATTTGATTTTGGTTGAGGAGATACGCAGGAAAGATTCTGGCGAGATCTCGGGTTCGAGTTCGACATTGATTGTTGATTTCATAGAGAGATCACGGAACAAGAACTCAAATAAGAAAGATCAAAATCAAAGTCTAGTCAGCAGACAACCTGCTGGAATCGTGGCAAGGCCGACCACATAAAAAGGAACTGCAAGAATCTCAAGAAGAAGAATGATGATGCTAATATTGTAACTGAAGAGATACATGATGCACTATTGCTGACAGTTCACAGTTCTGTTGATGACTGAATTCTGGATTCAGGTGCTTCCTTCCATACATCTTACCACCGCGAGTTAATGTGGAACTATGTTGCACGTAACTTTGGGAAGGTATATTTGACTGATCGAAAAGCTCTGGACGTGGTGGGGATTGGAGAAGTTGATATTTCACTCCATAACAAGAGAAGTGAACTTTGCAAAAAGTCAGGCACGTTCCTGAGTTGAAGAAAAATCTCATTTCTGTTGGGCAACTCAATGAGGGTGGTCATTCGGTAGTGTTCTTAGATAACACCTGGAAGATTACCAAAGGTGCATTAGTATTGGTTTGGGGTAAGAAAACTGACACACTAGATATGAATACAAGTTTACTCAGGCGTTGACACATGAGTTAGAGGTGCATTATAAATAAGCAAAAGAAAGTCAGTTTCCAGAAAGGTGGCAGAGCGCCAAAGGCAGGAAAATTAGATCTTATACGAACAGATAGTGAAGAACCACAAAGCTATGAAGAAATCTTGCAAGATGAAAGTTCGAGCAAGTGGGAGCTGGCATAAATTCCACCAGGGAAGAAGGAACTGCATAACAAGTGGGTGTACCGGGTGAAAACTGTGTTTGATGGCAGTAAGAGGTACAAGACTGGACTTATTGGAAATGACCTTCAGCTGAGACAAGATATTTCTCATGCAATGGGAGTTGTAAGCAGCTTCATGAGTAACCCAGAAAAGAGCTTTGAGGTACAAGGCTGTGTTGATGCTGATATGTCGACTGAGGGTGTTACTTTTGAGAAGCTGAAGTTGTGCTCGACTTCAACTGGTTTTCTGACATGAAGATCGGGGCTTTTAGTTGCAAAGGTGGAGGATCACGCTTGAGAAAAAGAGAGGTGCGACCAGTGGATGGTGCAGCTAGTGTCCCAGTCTCCAAGAGGAAGAATTGTTGAGGAAAGTGAAACCCGATCCACTATTTTGATTTGGCAAGAACCTGTTATGATAAAATATTTAATTGTTAATTAAATATTTACCTCCTTAAAGATTTCCCTCCAAACTAATTGCCTGAAAAGCTTCATGCAAAATCTTGTGAGATCATGCGGAATCTTTCTCTTATTTACTTAATTAGCTTTGCTGTTTCTTATAAAAGGCTAAACAAACATGCTCTCCAACACATCCCACAAACTTCTCTTGAGCTGAAGTTTGAAGGAAAAGGAAAAAAAGAAAAGCTTTTGCTTTCGGTTTTTTCTGAAGGAAAAGGAAAAAAAGAAAAGCTTTTGCTTTCAATTTTTTTTCTTTGGCTAAAAAGAAAAATTATTTCTTGTGTTCCTTTCTCGTAGCATTGAGAGAGAGGGAAGAGAAGTAAGGAAAAGGAGAGTAAGAAAGAGAGAGATTGTTCTTTCTTGTAAATGTCGAAACGCTCGACGGTGTAATTCCTCAAAGTAATAAAATCTTCTGCAACTCCGTGGACGAAGTCAATTTGCCGAACCACGTAAATCTTGTGTCGCCTTTTTTCTGATGTAACTTTTTAATCTATTTTTCGCTTTATTGCCGTCGTTTTTTTGACAATAGAGATCTAATCTTTTCCAAGTCCAAATAGACTCCCCTTTAGCTCTTCAAAATTTATCAAATGCTCCAAAACTATACTAGACACATGACTATACCCGTTCCTTGAATTTCCAACCCATAAAAGTCATCAACTTGTCCTTACTAAATCTTGAAATGCAAACTAGGCTCTCAACCTAGCCTAGTCTGTGCTTTAATCTAATGTTAGATTTGCTACCATTTCCCCAATCAAAACACATTAGAAAGTAATCCTAAACTCAATATCACTTCTTCAAACAATTTCTTAACATCTCCTAGTGATTCCATAATCCCAAGACCGCTCCATCACAAGCCCTACAATTCCCAAACCTTATTTGCATTATCTCACCCAAAGTGGCTATATCTTGCTTGGACGACCGTACCACCCCTAAAGATAATTCTGAATATCATTCCTTCCCAATGACTCCTAGCACTTGAAAGACCACTCCGACAACAAATTCAAACCTTTGAAAAATTTAATCCAAGACGCGCCAAGTTAATATCAGAGCCCAGGAAGAGCATTAAAGTTCTCATCACCAAGATGATTAGAAAATTAGCTGAAACACTTGCAAGTTGTGAAACTGAAATGCCTAAAAAGATTATTCTCTAAATTATGTAAGCTTCTTTTGTGTATTTATTTTCTATTACCAAAACTAATGGTAAATTACCAGTTTTAGGAAATTCTATGGATTGTTGAAAATTGCCAACTTTTTGCCTCCACATACATTGCCTAGCAAATCACTTACAGAACCTATCATTCCCTAAATTTTTTTTGAGTGGTCCTTATTAGCAATGGAGTGTTTCACTTTTAATAAAAAACCTATCCTAGGCTCCAATCCACAGTGAAAATTACATTGAAATTCTGCAAGGGACTTTGGTGTTAATCAATTAACTTTTTGCTTACATAAGAATGAAAATTTTGAGTTGATCATCACTTCATAGAAATATTTTGAAGTTCATTTTAGCAAGCATTCTTAGCATATATTTTTTAACATAAAAAAAACAAACTTACATTGCTTCATACATGTCTAGCAAGCATTCTTTGCATATATTTTTAAACATAAAAAAAAAAAAGTTACATATTTACTTCATACATGCCTCCCTCTTCTACTAACATTGATCAAATAGGTAACTTCTCTATAACATTACTTACCTAGAAGAATAGAAAAAAATGGCCTTACACAATGAGACAAATTTTCAGAAGTTGCAAGAAATGATCTTGAATTTGAATAACCAAATGCCAGCCATAAAAATACTAAATGCAAGCAAATCACCAGCACAAATTTCTGCTAAGAATGATCCCACCTAAAAAATTACCTTCATTAAAACCCAAGAAATGACTTCACTAAAAAGACGCCATCATAGAAACCAGGCTAGACAGGAAAATAATAAAAAACATGCAAACTCTAACGCCACAAAAATAAGGTTAAGATAGATGCCTCAATGTATGGAATCCATGATTTTAGCTGATTTCTAGACTGACTCGCCAAAATAGATTAGTTCTTTTGATTGGCATCAAACGGTTGACAACCAAGAAATCATCTTTGTAAAAAATAAAGTTTACATGTCATGAAAACTTTCTTAAAACAATACTTCAACAAAAAAAGAGAGGTTGGAAAAAAAATTATGTTCTCATAAATAAAAATAAAAGAGATGCCTATGCCCAAATATTGTCCTAAATATCATGATAAGAAATCAAATGAATAACTAATAACCTTAAGTCAAACAAACATGTAAGTAGTTGAGCATATGAACACCACTGAGAACCATGTTGCTATACAAATTCCTCATAGGTCATACAAAAATTCATTTGTGACAATCTATAGACATAAACAAAAGATACACATTAAAGTGGCTGCCATTAACACTTATTTATTTTTTATTATTCTTTGTATTTATTAAAAATTTCCAAACACTTCAAATTGATGTGAGGGAACACAAATAATCAAAAGCAATGCCAAATATGCGGGAAAAAATTATACATTTTTTCCAAAATAATAAATGGAGATTATGTGTTGATTCATTTTCAAACAAAGAGATATCCGATCTCAATATATAGCCAATTACAAACTAGAATTTATAGCTCATCTCAATTTATTTGGAAAATTTGATCTATACACACTATCTAACATAGTATCTTGATCTTATATATGATGTGTCAAGTAGTCCAATTTTTAATATTAAGGATATTATTAATTTATAATATTAAAGACATTATTGTTGTGCTGGAGCCCGATCCTGATCCCGCCCCTGACCCCGCCACCTGCTCGATCGCGAAGCACCGCTCCTGCTCTGTCGCTAATCGTCGCGACCGCTACTACTCGCCACTTCAGTTCGCGATACCTGTTCCCGTTCCTGCCTCCGCATGCTCCCGCGCGAGCGAAGCGAAGTCAGATCGTGAATAGTCGCGACGTCTCCATCTTCCTTCTCGCAAGATAGACATCTCTATCATGTCGACGTGACAAATTTGATTAGCACCTCATGTTCTAAGATAATCTCTTGATTTAGCAATTAATGATCATGCAATCACCAAAAAAGTTTCTTGCGGCAGAAGGAAGAAGAAAGAAGAAGATTTTTTTTCTCCCTAGGCTTCTTCTTGGTGACTTGTGATAGAAGAGAAATTGAGTTTATTTCTCCTTTACATATTTCTTCTTCGGTGTATCTCGGTGTAGATTTTCTTCGGTGTATCTCGGTGTAGAGAGAGAAGAACAGAGAGAG